GTACTAAACCAACTCTGAACTCAGTAGGTGTGATGTAGGTGCACAATCCAGAAAAATCAGAAGACAAAGTCTTTAAACTGAGTGATAGAAAGTAAAAATTAATTTTTATTAATGTGACTATGTAGTGTTATAAGTATTGTAATTTACATTTGTCTGATTGTAGAAAGCTGGGTTTCAGTGATGGGTTTTTGGTACTCCCGCACCACGCAGCAGGGCTCAGTGTTGCAGTAATTATAGGTGTATTCCCAGGTGTTGCACTCAGACTTGCAAGAGCCACGGACGAGGTAGCATTCTCGTTTTCTTTCTGCAATTTCTCTTGTTTTTTTCTGTGGAACTAGAAGAAGGTACTTATGATGATGAATCCAAGTTACATCCAAATAGACCCAATCCTTTATAGTACAGAGTTTAAAATTTTTGTTTCTGAAATCATGCCTACAGAACTGTATTGAAGATCTTTGCCCCTATATCTTGGTACAATATAAATATTTATACAACAATAATTACTTTGGCACTAACAATTTTTGTAAGCAAAATAGTCTTAAATATTTAATTTAATTTAATTTCTGCCTTTTAAAATCAGACCATAGATATCCTTATAATTTGTTTTAGTAAGAAGGAAAGTTACAATACAAATCATAGTTATACATGCAGCATCTCTCTCTCTCTCTCTCTCTCTCTCTCTCTCTCTCTCTCTCTCTCGCCTGTGCTCTCTCTCTCTCTGTCTCTCTCTCTCTCTCGCCTGTGCCTCTGCCACTGATACCCTTCCTCCTATGTTTTTTATTGTTCTGCCTCTCACTGATACCGAATGAGAGCTAAATGACTTTCAGACAAAGTTTGTTGTAAACAGATGTGTAGTTGACCAAATTTACAAATAGAAAAAATAGAAACATTGTGTAAAATACATATTCATGCTGCAAGAAAAACCATTTCCTGAGATACGTCTTTGATTTGAAAGAAAAATGAATAATGTGGATTCTGACATTCATAAATTATATGTTTTGATCTCACACTGTACTGATACTCAGAGCTTTTACATTTGAGATAAGCTATTATTCCAGTTTCCTCTCAACTTTTTCCATTAATATCATCATCTCCCTATATTGCATTTATATTTTCAACTCTTACATTACATTATATTGTCAGCCCTTAATGATGTATGATAGCTGAAAGTTTTACTTTCTATTCAACTATAACATACACAAATTTTAAAGTTCTTTTGCTTTTAAAACTATCACATTAAGGGTCTCTATTCTCTTTTTGAATATGTTGGTTGTATTCATGTGTGACTGTGTCTTAACAAATTACAAATTTTGATTATTATTCTGTGAACACTGGATAGTGATCCATGGTTATATATCTGTTAAATACACATAAAATCTGAAATAAACAAAATCCTTCTTTCAGTGTGTCTGAACACAGTGGCTTAGATTGCTCAGCCTTCCCGAATTCTTCTGCTTTGTTTCTTTTTAATTGAGAAACAAATATCAATGAGACAGTTTCAAAAATGATTAATAGGGGGCCGGGGAGATGGCTCAGTAGAATAAGTGCTTCCCTGGCAAGCACAAGGGCCTGAGTTCAATCCCCGGTTCTGCAAAAAAAAAAAAAGATTAATAGGAAAGTTTCAATAATTAATACATTGCACATTGTTATCTTCTTAGTGGTTATCCATAGTACAAGGTGCAGACAGAATATCCTGTCCAAACACTACTAGTACAAATCTTTCTTCTCATTGAATTAAGCAAAAGTAGCTGTATACTTATCCTAACTATTCTGCATATACAAATACAAAATGGCCATTCCTCTGTCTTGCATTTTTTTATTTAGTAACATCAGAAATGGATATTCCATTGGCATTTAAATACTATAGCTTTGTGTATTCTAGTAGCTTCTTGGTGGAATTTTTTGGGTTTTGCAAGTAGGGTATCATGTCATCTGCAAATAATGATAATTTAACTTCTTCTTTACCTATTCTTATTCCGTTTATTTCTCCGTCTTGTCTAATGGCTCTGGCTAATGATTCCAGAATTATATTGAATAGGAGTGGTGATAGAGGACATCCTTGTCTTGTACCAGATCTGAGAGTAAAAGATTTCACTTTTTCCCCATTTACAATTATATAAGCCATTGGGTGGTCATAGATGGCTTTTATCCTATTAAAGTAGAGGCCTTTTATTCCAATTTTCTGTAGAACTTTGAACATGAATGAGTGTTGGACTTTGTCAAAACCCTTTTCTGCATCAAAGGAGATGATCATGTAGTTTAGTTTTCGCTCTAGCAATATAGTGTATTATATTTAAAGATTTTCAAATATTGAACCATCCTTGCATACCTGGGATGAATCCTACCTGGTCATGCTGTATGATATTCTTGATGATTTGCTGTATTCTATTTGCAAGGATTTTATTGAGGAGTTTTGAATCTGTGTTCATGAGGGAGATTGGCCTGTAATTTTCTTTTTTATTTGTGTCTTTCCCTGGTTTTGGTATTAGTATAATACTTGCCTCCAGGAAAACTTTGGGAGAACTGTTTCATTTTCAATTTCCTGGAAGAGTTTGAGGAATGTAGAGATTATATCTTGTATAAATTTCTTTTAGAGTTCAGCTATGAATCCATCAGGACCTGGACTTTTCTTTGTCAGCAGGCTTTTTGTTACATTTCATATTTCTTTGGCTGTTACTTGGTTATTGAGAGTTGCTATATCTTGTCGATTCAGTTTTGGTAATTTTTACCTTTCTAGGAATCTATCCATTTTGTCTGTGTCTTCTATTTTGTGAGCGTAAAGATACTCAAAGTAGCTACTGATAATCTTCTGAATTTCCACTGGGTCTGTGGTGATTGTCTCCTTTTCATTCCTTATTACTTGTATTTGAATTTTTTTTTTTCCTCTTTTTCATGAGGGTCGTTAGGGACTTATTGATTTTGTTTAATCTTTCAAAGAACGAGCTTTTGGATTTGTTAGTTCTTTGAATTGTTTTCTTCATCTCAGTTGAATTAATTTTTGCTCTAATCTTTATGATTTCTTCCTGTCTTTGGGCTCTGGGTTTGATTTACTTTTCCTTTTCTAGATGTTGGAGGTGCAGATTAGGGTTTTTATTTGTTCCCGTTCTGTTTTCCTAAAGTGTGATTTCGCAGGTATGAATTTCCCTCTGAGAACTGCCTTCACCACATCCCATAAATTCCGATAAATTGTTTGTATTTTCATTGAATTGTAGATATTATTGAATTTCTTGTTTAATTTCAGCTGTGAGTCATTGATTGCTGAGTAAGGTGTAGTTTAATTTCCTTGTATTTAGGGGCTTCTTCTGGTTCTTATTTTTTTTTTTTTGTCGTTTATTTCCAGTTTCATTGCACTGTGGTCAGATAATATGTGTGGGATAATTTCTGTTTACTTGCATATACTTAAGTATGACCTATGGACCAGTATGTGGTCTATTTTAGAAAATGACCCATGTGCAGCTGAGAAAAATGTGTATTGAGCTGTATTTGGGTGGAATACTCTGTATACGTCCACAAGTCCATTTGTTTCAAGCTCTGGTTAAGTTCTGGGGTTTTTTTTGCTAATTTTTTTTCTGGTTGACCTATCTTTTTAGGATAAAAGGATGTTAAGGTCTCCTGTTAAGATGTGGATATTGAATATTAGATTTTTCATGTCCATTAAGATTTTTCTTATATAGTTGCGTGCTCCCATGTTTGCTTCATAGATATTTATCATTTTTACCTCTTCCTCTTGAATTTTTCCCCTAACCAGTATATAGTGGCCTTCTTTATTTCTTTTGATCATTCTTGGTTTGAAGTTGAGACTGTCTTAAAAAAGGATTGCTGCCTGTTTTTTCTGAGGTGCTGGGGAATGTAGTATTGTTTTCTGTTATTTGATTTTCAGTCTATGAATTTCTTTGTGAGTTGTGTTTGTTTTATACAGCATATTGTGGGATTTTGTTTCCTAATTTTGAGTCCATTTACATTGATGGTTATAACTGAGATGTGTTGACTTATGATTGACATGTTATGTACCAGCTGTTGTTTACTCCTTTTTTCCCCTGTGTTTGTTTGCCCTAGTTAGTTGGTTGTTTCTGTTCTAATTCATTGTGTTCTGATCATTTTGGTCCCTCTCTAAAACATCTTTCTATAGTCTGCATAAGCTTGGCTTTGTCATCATGAAATTCTTTAGCTGTTCTTTGTCATGGAAGTATTTTACTTCTCCATCAAACTTGAAAGAGAGTTTTGCAGGGTATAGTAGTCTGGGCTGGAATTTGTTTTCATAGAAGACTTGAAGTACTCTGCTCCATGCTCTTGCCTTCATGGTTTGTGAAGAGAAGTTTGCTGTAATTCTGATGGGTTTTCCTTTGAATGTGATCTGCTTCTTTTCTCTACTGGCTTTCAGTATATTATTCTTGTGCTTGATTTCTGGGATCTTGACTAATATATATCTCGGTGTGTTTTTAATTGGGTTGCGGTTACTTGACGTTCTGTATGCTTCAGTTACCTGAATGTAAGATTGTTTTCTCATATTTGGGAAGTTTTCTGCTATTATGTCTGCCCATATTCTTTTTATGTCATTTCTATTGACTCCATCTTTCTCATTTATGCCTATTAGTCTCACATTGTTCATCTTTGCATCGTCTTGCAGGTGATGAATTATTTTTTTCCTGCATCCTAGTTGTTTTTAAGAGACCCTTTTTCACCTTTTCACTAACTGTATCAATGTCTTCAAGATCTGAAACTCTGTCTTCACTTTCACTCAAAGGGTTTTGAAGGCTTGTGATTTTGATTTTAAGTTCTTTTATCTCTTTGACTCTGCTTCATGTGATCTATTTCTTTTCTGTATTGCTCATTCAAGGAATCCGTCATATTTCTAATCTCTTTTTTTTTTTATTAAGGTCTTCTTTAAAGGCCATTATTAATTCTATTACTGCAGAGTTTTTTTCAGATTGGGTTTCCTCCATATGTTTCCACATTTGACTTTTTACCGCAGATGCTATGAATTGAGAGATTTGTTTTTTCATTTCAGAAATTAATTCTGCTCTGAGTTCCTCTATACCTTTCTACTGTTGTTCCTTTACTTGCAACGCTGTGAATTCATACATTTCAGCTGAACTAGTGTCCTCTGCACTTACTCTGGGTGGACTTGAGGACTGACATTAGATTTTGTTTCTTGTCTTTGTCATTTTGTAAAGCACTGACTTTTGCCCTTTGGTGTAGAGTTTTGGTGCAGTCATAACCTTAGCACCTACTGAAATTAATGTGCAGATCTATTAATTTTGAGTTTATCCACTTATTCCTGGCCTGAGTCTAGCTGTCATGTTCATCTCCTTCCTGCTGCAGCCCTTGGAAGTGAACTTCTTGTGCCCCTCTGGCACAACAGTGAGCCTGTTCTGCCCCTCTGTTGTTCCCCTGACCCAGGGAGCAGAAGGATGTGCAGAAGGTCTCCCACACACTCCCCTGGATTGCGCCGGCTGGATCTGGGGGTCTGGAGAGAGTCGCAGGAGTTCTCACTCACTGGTCAAGCTTAGGGACAGGGTCTCTAGAGGGTTGCTGGGATCCCAAGGGAGTGGCAGAGAGTCTCACTCACGGAGGTGCCTGAGTTTTGGTCTGGAGGGGTCCAGCAGGCAGAGGGAAGCCCGATGCTCTCCCACATGCTGGCGGGGCCTGGGAGGGGCTGGATCTGGGTGTCCCAAGAGAGCTGCAGAAGTTCTTACTCACTAGTAGGGTTTCAGGGCGGAGGCTCTGCAGGGTTGCAGGGGTCCTGATGGTACAATACAGGATCTCACTCACGCGAGTGCCTGAGTTTTAGTCTGGAGGGTCCTGTTGGCACAGGGAACCTGGCTCTTCCACATGTTCACCGGGCCTGGGCTGGGCTGGATCTCTGCTTTTTGTTTTCTAAGTGAAGGTAAATTTTTCTTTTATTGTTGTTCACATTACCATAAGATATTCTTTACCTAAGTAAAACTATTGCTATATTTATATATTTCTTTTTTTCAAATAGGTACCATTCCGTCTGAGAGATGGATAGTAAATTTTGACAAAGACCTTTTAGATGGCCTTGTATTTGCAACACAGTTAGCATCTTATTGCCCATTTTTGGTAAGAATCACTTGAAAGAATTTAATGATTATTATTTAAAATGTATTCTGTAAGCTGATTACTTTAAGTTTATTAATTTTAAAAACATTCGAACCAATAACACTGACCTTTTGTTTACTCTTGTATTTCAAAAGCAATAATTTAGTATCTTCAAATTTAATACTTAATATTCCTTTTGTCACCTGCAGAGAATACTTTACATGTAGAAATTTTTATTTCATTAGTGAAAATGGTCTGTTTTCTTTTCTAGATTGAGTCACATTTTGTAAATATGTATACACAACCAAAACGTCCTGAACAATATCTCCACAACTGCTTGATTATTATAAATAGTTTTTCTGAAATTGGCCTTGACATGGGTGTACAGGTATGTTACTTTATATCATAATAGTATATGCATTTTTTAGTTTCTTTATAATATTAATTTGTTCATAAATTTTAATTCTAAACTAAAACAGACCTCATGAATTAAAAGTATGGAAATTGAAACATGACTCACAGGAATACGTTGGATATAAATTCATAATATATAACTATTTAATGGTGTATATAATATAATAACATATTCAAATTGTAATATAGTAATTATGTCCATGCAATTTTGCATAATAAAAATGAATTTTAGTTTCAGTATCTGATACCATAACAATGAAAGTTGAATGCAATTGTAAGTTACCCATAATCTAATAATAATTTAAGAGTAGAGTGATGGAATATTTATACTTAATTATCTTTTAATTTATTATCAAAAAATATACAAGTGTTTGAAATCTGTGCTTAATTTATAGGAGCCCTTTGTTACTTACAGGCCATGAGGTGATATTTATAAATGATTCTTGACTTTAAAAAATACATAAATACATTGCACTACCAAGATAGGTACCTGTTAAAAGACAAAGTTCTACTCATTCAATAAAGTGACAATAGGGATACGAATAAATAATAAATAATAAAATCTAGATTTTAGAGAATGAAGGGATCAATTTGATGTAGTCCATTCCACCAACAGCACTGTGAAGGAAAGAAGACTTATTTGGTATCTCAGAATGTGGATTGGATTTGGATTGGTAATGGTGACAAAAGAAGTTGTTTCTCAAAGACAATGGTATGAGACCAGGAGTAATGGGAAATGCCATACATTAAAGATATTATGAGATGAGGTTTCCCCAGAGCTGATGGTATAACTCAATAGTAGAGTGCTTGACTAGTATGCTAAAGGTTTTGAATTTCTATTGCCAGCACTCCTAAAAGGAAACAGGAAATCACATTTCTCTAGTTGGAGTTCATTGTTAGCAATTTAAGACATAGGCAAATGTTATAACTTAGACCTGAAATGTCCCCCATGAGTCTTATGTGTTCAGAGGTGGGTTTTTGAGAGGTGATTGGATTATGAAGGCATTATACACATCAGTGCATTAATCCACTAATGAGTTCATAGATGAATGTGCATCCTGGGAGTCTGGCCTGGAGAAGAGGTGGTTCACTGGGCTCATGACCTAGGAGAGTTTATTGTGTTTCTGTGCATCCAAGTTATCATCTATTGTACAGCTTCCACTGCTGTGACTCAGAGCCAAACCACCATAGACTGAATGCCCTCAAACCATGAGCCCAAATAAACTTCCCATTTTAAAAATTAGATGTCTTAGATTTTGGTCCAGAAACAGGAAAATGACAAACTGAATATATTATATACCAGGGTAAAACATCAGAAGTTTAACCATGTGGGAACTATGATACCAATGGTTTTTCTCCTTACAGTAGTCATAATGGAATGAGAGGCAGGGAACTAGGAACAAGGAAAACAAAAACTAATAAACATGAGATTTCAGTTGATCAAAGAGAATGATAAATGATTTCTTTACTCTTACCAGTTTTTTTCAGTACTTGGTCTTTTCAGTACTGGTATTTATCCCAGGGCCCTGCAAATTCCCAAGCCATTTAAAAAAACATTTTGAGCACATTCCTACTGTCACTAAGTTGCCGGAGCTGTGCATGAGCTCATGATCTCCCTGTCTAAACTCCCTAAAGTGATAGAATTACAGGAAGAAACCACTATATACAGATAATCTCCTCATATTCCTTCAGTGGAAAAAGAAAATAAGCTAATACAGCACAATTCACGAGGTATGTTAGACCATTTGAGTAGCCAAAGAAGAAGTGCACAAGAGAAATACCATCCCAAAAGATAAATGCTCTTGTCCAAATATGCCCTAATAATGTGATTTCTTAATATATACCATTTATTATTATTATTATTGTTATTATTATTATTATTATTATTTTGAAAAGAATACATAATGGTAAAAAAATTAGAAATGATATAAAATGTTGGTGAACAAAGTAATAGGAATTCAACAATTGTTTTTGTATTGCATAATGTTATCTTCATATTAGTTGTGTAGGTTACCAAATATAAAAACCTGCAAAGTAGTTGAAAAAAGTTATAAGAAATTGAAAAGAAAAAAAAATAGCATGTGCTACTCCTTTCAACAGATCGATAGAAAGCAGTACAGTCATCCAAACTATCATGCATATATACATAAATATGTCTTTTTTTTGTTTTGTGGAACCAGGGATTGAACTCAGGCCCTTGTGCTTGCCAGGGAACCACTTATTCCACTGAGCCATCTCCCCGGTCCCATAAATAAATCTTTTTACCTTTGTCTCAGTTTCTTTTCATTCGTTGCTGGAACAAAATACCCAACACCCAAAACTGAGGAAAAAAAGGTTTATTCAGCTCACAGTCAGTGGAGGTTTCAGTCCATAAGGCTGACTCCAGGACAGAGGGCAGGTGTTCCTGGGCAGAAAACAGCGAAGAGCAAAGAGAGTGGCAGCAGTTGACGCTTCTAGCCAGCTTCTCTCCCCTCCTTACATTGTAAGCAGGCTACCCTGGGCTGGGGTTGTAGAACTCACACAGTGTCCATGCCCTTCTGTTGCCCTGGATGAAGATGTTTACAGGGTAAGAACCCTGGCTCCCTGCTGAGTCACTTATATAAACTTTTAAACTTCTCAAGTTGGCACAATGTATCAACCAGTATACCCTTCTGCTTTTTGTCCTTTTCCTCATCTCAGTTTTTCCTTCACTCTGTACTGTTGAGATGAGTTTTACAATGCTTACCTCCTACTTCTATTAAAGTTACCTAGACATTAAAGTACTTTTGTAGCCAAGCTTACAATTCTTTTTTTTATTGGTAACATTGTAAAGAGGAACTGCCATAAAAAATTACAGTGTGGTTTTGTTATGGAGTTCTGAGGACTAACTAATAAAATACTTCAGTTTGGAAGAATAAATACTTTAAAAATCCTTTAAGTTCAATAAATTATTGAATCTCTTCCATAAACTATGCTGGATAGATCCTATAAAGGCACTGGTATGTGAAGCTACACTCTTGTCTTCCAAAATGTTACCAATTAATAATAACAATATGTGAAAACAAGCTGATGAAAGGCAGATAATGAATGTTACAATAGACATACAAAAATATATTATGGAAACTCAGAGGCAAGAAGCCACTCAAGCCAGGAACCTAAAAAAATTACACAAGACACATGACATTTAAACTGGCCCTTCAGAGTTTGGTACAGACAATTACCTTGTAAAGCAAAAAGTTTTTTTTTTCTGTTTTATTTTTTTGGGAGTTCCTGTCAAAGTTTAAGTGATCCCATTGCTTAAGATTTCCAGAAAAAGCAGAATATCATGAGTGGAGTGTGTGATGAAGCAAACTGCTAACTTCTTGGCTGGGAAAGGAAAGAGGGAGAGCAAAATACCAAGATCCCATAATCCTCCTTAAAGCCATAAATTAGCAATATATACCTAACACTATGACCAATATCTCTTTTTTTCGTACTTAGGATAAGTTCTATAGGGTTTCACTGAGTAGATTGGACTTGTAGTGAGCCTCGTGTTTACAGCCTCCCAAGTGCTGGGATTATAGGGGTGCTCCACCATGCCAAATCTCTATTGCCATCTCAGCACACTTCAGTGGTGGGGACAGCATGGCAAGCTCAGGAATTGAACTCCCGGCCCCTGTGTCTGCCTGAGCAGGTACTTTAATCCATTGAGCTATTTGACCAGCCCTTATGACCAATGTCTTAATGTTTCTAGCACCTTTCAGTAGCAACATGCTAGAGCCCAAATATTGAACACATGAACTTTGGGAAGTACATTTAACCTCCATACTGCAACAGTAATTGATAATTCAAGAGGAAATCACCATCTTCAGGGTGGGGGAGAGCCAATATAATTTATGTTCTCTTGGATATAGAGAATAATGATTAAGGTTTAAAAGGAATTTATTATGAATATTTTTCTTAGGATAACTCATTTTATAATTTATCTTTTAAACCTAGGGCTGACAAAAATAAAATTGCTGTTGCCTATTTTCCTTTAAGTTTATCATTAGGGATAGCATGCTTTATTCTTTGATTTTTTGCATGTAATCTCTTATCATAGTTTTTCATTAATACAAACTTTTTATTTTGCAAAATTACTGAAATTTCATTCTACATATTTTTCATAGCTGAATATTAAAATGTTAGAAAAATATATAATTTTATATTGTAGACACTGAAGCAGAGTTGCAAAGATTTATTTAACCTCAGACCTTAGACCAGAGTGTTCTGTAAGCAGTGCTCCCATTTCTCTCTTTTCCATTCATCCTAGGTAGCCCTCTAAGGATTACACCATAGGCTGTTTCAATACATAGCATCCAAGAGGGATGCATTATTCTGTTTGAAATTTACTTTGTTAGATGTCAAAGGCGACTATGAAAAAATTTGTGTTTTTAAGAACTTTTAATTTTGTTACTTTAAAGCATATCTAGCTGTTGTCAATTATTACCTTTGTTGAAGCCCAATAATCTACAGATTAGTGTGATTAGCAATTTATCCTACCTTATTCTATGTTTTCCTCTTGCCATACACTTATGTACCTTTCTGCCACATTTAGATGATCCATTTTATTCATTTGTTTGTTTATTTATTGATTTATTTTACTAGGTATATATTTTCCAGCATTTTGATTGGCAGTACTTATCCAAGACAGGACAAATCTTTCAATTTCCCAAAGAAAGACATGAGTGTATGAGGAAATACAAACTAAGAGATGACCACAAAGCTATCTTTATTCTCTTGAATCTACTGGAAAATTTATACTTTTTATTTTTATGTATTTAGTACAGATCTATAGGGTCTCACTACACAGATCAGACTTATAGTGATCCTCCTGTTTTCAGCCTCCCAAGTGCTATGATTACAGGTGTGCACTGCCATACCCAGTCTCAATTACTGTCTCAGCCTTTTCTGGGGGTGGGGCTGACATGGCACTTGGAGAATGGAACCCTGGTCCCTGAACCTGCCTAAGCAGGT